TTTATTCACAAATAAACTATTGATGATGCATGTATGAAGAGTTCCAAGTTGAAAAAACTTACCTCAAAACTGGAAATCGTGTTTGGAGTTTGAGCTTGTTTCAAGGTGTTGCAATGATCAGGTTAGCTTCCTTGAGGTCCTAGGAAGCTAATGTAATGGTTTGCTTGAGTTGAGAGTGGCTGAAATGACTTGGAGAAGTCAATGTGCAATGCTCTGTTTTTGGTTATGGAAGATAGGGTAAATGATGTTACAGAAATGAAACAGGTATAGGGATAAGTTACACTTGATGTAAGGAAGCTTTAGAAACTAAAAGGCCAAGAAAAGCACGAGGGAAATGGGAGTTTGATATTCAAGGTCAAACAGTGCAACAATGGAGTTTTGTGCAATTTCTGATTTGAGAGAGTTTTGGTGTATTTCAGGGTGTTAAGCTCGTGTCCTAGCTCACAAATAGTGACTCTATTTATAAACAACAAGTTTGGAGTGCTCTAGTTGATCAGAATTCAAATTTACATGTTTAAGTTAAACATGTGATTTTTTGACAAAACAAGTTTCCATGCCTTGTCTACTTGCTAAGATAGAGTGGTTATGCTTTAAACAAGTTTGCTTCTGACTTTGTGGATGGATTGTGATCAGAGGGAACAAGTTAGAGGCTCAATGTGAACTTTATGCAAAAAGCATGATTTATAAGAATGGCATTGTTAACTTTGTGCCATAAATGGAAATGCAACTTGGACAATAGCTCAATTGCTTGGATCAAAGCTCTAACAGTTGTGTAAACATTTAATTATGGAGTGACAAACAATTTTGAGGCCTGAAAAGCAAGGATTATGCAGCCTATCATGGATTTGGTTCAAGTGTTCATCAAAATGACTTGTAATTCAAGTGACAAAACCCTAATTTCATCTCTTCGATTCTCCCTACTCAAGAATGATCTCAAGGAGTTCTTGGACATTTTGGAAAGCTTTCAATGTGCTCTACAACCCATATTTGAATTTATTTTGAAGATTCCCCTTGGAACTATATGAAAAATGCCATGAGGTTAGGTTAAAATTCTGACCAAATTAGGGCAAAATTTCACTAAGTGTTTAGTTTCATGACCACATGTTCATAAAATTATAACTTGAGATCCAAGAATTTTTGGAAGGAGTTGTCTAAATCAAAGTTGTATATTTCATGGATATCTAAAACTTTCATGTTGGAAGTTTCTCTTGAATCATCTTGCATCATGGTGAAAAGTTTGTTCAAAGTTATGAAAAAACATGAAATTTCCAACACTTAGAAAAATTTCTAAGTTTAGAAATTTTGACTTTTCAAAATGAAATCTTGACTTTTTGATTTCTTGATGAATAAGTTTCATATTTTGACATTTTTTGGTGGATTATGATCTTTGGCACTTGAATTTGACCAAAAAGTCAAAGTTTGACTTTTCAGTATACAGTTGACTTTTGATCAGTTGACTGAAAAATTCATTTGTCAGTCCAATGGACTTGCAATATTTTGAACCATGCCATTAGGTCAAAATGATGAAATTGGACTCTTGAGATCATGCCTTAAACCAATTGATCATTTGCTAGGTCAAAAATCAAAAATTGCCCCTTCTCAATCAAAACCCTAATTTTGACCATTTTGCCCTTTTAGAGATTTGATCAAATTTTTTGAGGAGGTGTGGTCCAAACTTGATCAAATGATACATATAAGTTTAAAATGTTGATGTGGATCAAAAATCATGAAGTTTGACTATAAATTGACTATAGTTGACTTTTTTCCCAATACAACTGATTTTAGGTCAACTGCTCAATTGACTGAGCAAAAATGTGATTCAAGGCTTGAAACTTGGCATGAGTAATCTTGGGGGTCCATAATGATCCATGAAAGTCATATGGGGCATTGTAAGTTCAAATTTCCTTGTACAAACTCAAACCCTAGTTTTGGTCATCAGTGCTTAAGGAGATGTCTTAAGCTGATCAAACCTAGTGCAGTCTTGAGTCAAGGGAGATCTTGTGAGCAAATTCTTGATAAGTGAGAGGGAAAATTTTGGGGTACAACACCGGGGTTCAGCACCAACCCAATCCAGAGTAGGGTCGTCGACGATGTCGACCAGATTCATGTTTTCGTCGGTAGTGCTTGTTTCCTCGATATCGTTACGCCCCGAGCACTCAGGAATACCGACCTTTTACCTGCAAAGTATAGGAAACCGGTGAATTCGATAGAAAATCCGCTTTTCAGCCACACAGACGGGGAGAAGTAAGAAACACTTAGACCGAGTCAACGACCATTTGTATGAAAGACGGGGAACACGTGGACCTCGACCAAACACCGACCTTAACGACAGACGTATATCAATCATAAATGTCGCGAGCATAGCATGAATATCGCGAGCAAAGGATGAATCCCACGACCAAGTTCATAACGTTGCTAGCCAGATACAAGAATACTAAGGGAAAACTAGCCTACATACTAACGAAAGGATGAATCCCCCGACCAAGTTCATAAATCTACTAGCCAGACGCATGAATATCACGGGCACGATTGTAAACCGTATGCCTAAACCTATGAATGTCGCGGGCGTGATCACGAATCAGGCGCCTAGAGTGCTTGAATTTCTCGGGCACAATCCCCAGACACGAAATTCTACCACTAAACACCATCAAAATCTATCTACAACATGAGATATCAAAGAAAAGGAACACTTACTTGGAAGAAGAGTGAGGAGCGATGGTGGTGGAGATGAACACACGGCAAACGGTGCGGCGGTCACAACGACGCTAGGAAAACACGCGGTGTTAAAGGCAGAGAAAATATGAGAGCATGGAGATGAGAAAACAAGTTGTGGGCCCTGAAGCCCTATTTATAGAGTTGGCGTGGAATATGAAACATCGCGTCGGGGAATCACAAACCGCCTTCATCCTCGGCGTCTACTCGCGTAGACAATGATGACCCTACTCCCTAGGCCGCCATTGTGGTTTCCAAGAGCCACGCCACGTGTCTGACTAGTGTATCACCACCTCCCTGTGAGTGCTCCTCGAACACTCCTCGACCGCTGCACAGAGCAAATCACGAATTAGGCGAAGCCTCACACCCCCGATTGAAAACCCTTGTATCGCGCAAGCGAGTCTCGCAAAGGGGAGAACTTGAATCAAGTCATAGCTCCCGTACTAGGAGCAGCGACTTGGGGGGCTCCTATTCTGGACTGGGCCTGCCCTTGGCCCAATCACCAGTGAGGCCCAATCCAAGCTTGCCAATATACCGTACTGAGCAGTATACCCTCCGAGCACACCCCGATCATGGGTATCTGGTCGGATATGATAGCTTCCCGCCGGTGCTCGCGAAGAATGTCCCCGACGAGCGTGCGCTCCCTCCGAGACCCTCCTCGTAGGGATGACTTTCAACCTCTCTGGATTTCACAGAGTCTTCATGGTCCCAGAAAGATCGCGTCTTTATCCTCCCTGTCTTGTGGAGGGCGTCATCCAGGTAGGGGGCACGTGCAGGTCCCCACTACTCACGTAGAACCTGGAAGTCTCTTTGTTGGGCCTATTTGATCAGCCCAATAATGAGACCTTGGCCCTGCGCTGGGGGCTATAAATATCCTCTATTTCGAGAGGGTCAGGTATTCATTCATTCATACCTACATTCATACTTGCTTGCTCATTTTGTCTCTCACTTTGCTATCGGAGTGTCTTGTAGGTACCCCCCCTAACTCACTCAGTTCCTGCCCGAGTTAGCTGTGACGGTCTAACTCTGATTCGGTAAGATCAGTATTTATGTTGATATTGAATTTAAGATGTTAGTAATTTGAATTTGACTTATGTTGGATTAAAGTTGAGATGGACAATAACTTAAATTTGAATTGAAGATGCCAACAACCCGATTAAACCATTTGAAATAATATGTGATCCATTCCAATTCAATTCGTCCGAACCGATTAAGAAAATGAGTGAAAATGAGATTATATGGCTCAACTGCAGATTGAGATGGGTGAGATATTTGGGCCAGAAATCGCTCAACCCGATCTATTATCCAGTTTTAATCGTACTATACTTTTCACTGTTTCTGCCAATCTAATAAATTTTTTATTGTATATTTGGAAAAAAATTAATCGTGTAATATAGATGATGTACTAACGGTATAAATTAATTTTATATTATCAACCAATAACAATTATATATTCTATTACACCATATTTATATTTTAAAATTCTTTTAATAGATGATAAACTATTAATTTTTTATTAAATAACTGTGTAAAACTATTTTATATTGTCACTGCATATTCATTAAACCAATAAAAAACACACTCTTCATAATTAAAAAAAAAGACATATGTATACTTATTAAGAATTCTCAAACATAATCATTTGAAATAATAATTTTATATTATTTTAATAAATTTCTGAAAAAACAAAAAAAAAATTTCAACTAATTTCATTAATTATAATTAATAAAGTATTTTAATTAAAGTGTATTATATTATCATTAAACAAACTTAGTTAATTAAAAAAAATTATAATATCATTTACTATTATATCTTTCAAACACATTTATAAATACAAAAATAATTTTTAAAATTATTAAGAAATTTAATCAAAAATAATTAACTTTTTAATTTTTATTAAAAATATTAATTAAATTTACTATAATATTGTCTTTATTAAATTTAATAGTGTTAGAAAATGAAATTGAGAGATATATTAAAAGTTCACAACATTAAGTAACTTAATAATAATTAATTTTTGGTTATAATAGTGACATTTTTATTATTCATAAATGTGTCTGGAATATACTACATCTATATCATTAATTATATTACCCTGTCAAAAAAATCATTAATTATACTATATATAAGTGGTACATTAAATATTATGCTTGAAGAGACGGGATCTCTTTTATTGAAAACAGACATCTACATAAAACAAGTTCTCTTTTGCAATCTGTCAGGAAAATCCCACTATTATAGTAGTTATCCTTATTAGGCGACAAACAAAGACAGGTCATTATTCATAATTAATGGAACTCTACACTAATGTTTACAGTTCCACGTTTCTTAATATCTTCCATAAATTCATCAAGATTCCGATCAGAGGAACCACCACCCGCCACCGCAGCCTCCGCCGCCTTCTTCAACTTGATCGCTTTTTTCTTCAACTGCTCTGCTTTTCCCCCTGTCATAGCTTCCAATAAGCCTGTCTTCACTTCATCTCTTGTCACCAGTTTATCTTCAATTTGACTATAACCCAACCTAGTCCCAACACCAAAAACATCAACCAAGAATTTGGCGTTTGTAACTTGATCACCCCATGCCGGAAACGTCAACACCGGAACTCCTAAAGTAAGTGTCTCCATCGATGAATTCCAACCACAATGTGTCATGAAACATCCCACTGAAGGATTAGACAATACCTCTTCTTGTGGACACCACTTCACCACTTTCCCTCTCTCACCTGCTTCCTCCAAAAACCCTTCCGGCAAAACATGTGCCTTCCGACCACTTTCCTTTGAAGGTGGTTTCAATACCCATAAAAACGACACTTGTGACTCCAACAACCCATATGCAATTTCATCCACTTGTTCCTGTGAAAGATACACAATCGTCCCAAAAGAAATGTAAACTACACATCCTTCCGCCTTCGTGTTAAGCCAATCTACAATCTTACAATCATCCCTCTTAACAAAATCGCCCCGGATATAACTCACATCTTTGATTTTTGGGTTGTTGAACAAAGGACCGATAGGTCTTATTTTGATTGATTTTTCTGAAACGTAGTCGATGAAATCATGTTCTAGTTCTTCATATGTATCCACCAATACACAAAAAACTTTAGATAAATTCTTAAACTGTTCTAAGATGAGTGTCCCTAAAAACGGATATTTACTAAAAGGGTGTAGAAAATCCGGGATTTCATTGTATTTGAGAGTAAAAGAAGAGTTGAGTTGAACATCAATATAAGGTTCTGAATCCGTAGGGAAAGGTACGAGTTTATGGAAATAGTTATAGTAAGCTACGAAAACAGCAACGGATTGAATCCATAACAAAACAGAAGGAATATTATTATCATAAGCAACATCACAAACCCATGGAAGAAAAGGATTATTGATGACACAAGAAATTGGCGTGTTTGAATCAGCATGATTCTTGATCATTTGAGAAACGAATTGCTTCCCAACAAGTTCAAGCTGTTCCGAGTAGCCACTAAGACTATTTCTGATGGAATCATCATCCGGTAAACCGTCGTGGAAGAACCGGAAAGTGAGAGAACCGTCACCAATTGGAGTGGTTGATTTATCAGTGATGTTGTTAACGGTTCGCATGTTCTTGCCAGCATATTCGGTTGTGATGAAGATGACTGAAGAACCCTTTGCAGCGAGACACTTTGCTAGTCTAAGAAGAGGGTTTATGTGTCCTTGTGCAGGATATGATACAAGGAGGATTTGGATGGGAGCTTCGGAACCCATTTTTCCTTTTCCTTTGCCGTGGTTTTCTTATTTACATATATCACTTAAATAGTGCTGGTGGCCGAAAGAATATACTTTATAATTTATCAATCAATATTTGTTTGTTGGTAACTTTCAAATCGATTACGATCAGCATTTTACACTTCTCAAATTGTGATGTAAGAGATGATTCATTAAACGAACGAGTAAGGCTAAAAATAATTTTTTAACATTCTATTTTACACTTATTTTATATGGGATAATAAGGATCCTGCCACTTTAGGTGTGAAAGGTATTTTTAATATTTTAAAAATCATCCTATTGTTAAATTTTATAATTAAATTAGATTAAATTAGATAATTCAGTAGAATAAATTGATCTTTATAACAAATATATATTTATTAAATCGATCAAATCGAATAACTCAATCTCTAAAAAAGATATCATGATATTTAGAAAATTTTAAAATTTTAAAATATTATAATTTTACAGTCTATTTTTTAAATCTTAAATCCTAAATCTTAAAAAATCAGTGAAATTAAATATTCATTTGTATTAATTTATTCATGTTTAGTCATTAACATAAATTGTGATATTATCTGTTTGAAAGAATTTATGAAAATAATTTATGATATTGTTTATATATAATTTTATTTTTATATTTTAATTTAAAATACACATAAATCATAATAATGAAATTATTAATATTTATTTAGATAAGTATATTCGATTAACTTAAATTGCTTTTTTATTGATATGTGATTTATCTTTTTTTAATTAAATAAACTTATAAAAAATTAAAGTATTTTTTTAATTTAAAAAAAAATCTGATTTAATATAAACATGTGTAACTTAAATAGTAGAATCTTGTTAGTTGCGCCGACACATTCCATCGTCTAATTATAATGCTAGTTTTACTATTTAACATTTTGCCTTATAACTTTTGTATTAATATAATTTAGTATCTTTTATACTCTATTTTGTTAAATTGTAATTCATAGTGTCGAAAAGATTTGATTTGTTTTAGATAGATTTGATTTAAGTTTAGAATAGATTTGATTTGATTTAGTAACAAAATATATATTTTGAGCTTTGGACTTAGGGTGTAAGCTCAGTTATAAATAGAGAGAGTAACCCCTATTTTTTGTAAGCAAGTCAAGAAATCATTCACAGCATTTTGCAGTTGCAAAGTGAATAAGAAAGTTTTCACATTTTGTGAGCAGAGAAAAACTCTGCAGAAATTATTTGTCTTGTCTTCTTTCTTTGTCTGTCTCATAATTAAATTGTCATTGTGGTAGAAATTCATCATAGACTTTGGTGAGTTTCCAACATCTAGTATCAAGAGTTTTGTTTTGATTCGAGGGAAGTGTCAATCAAGAACGATTGAAGAATTCACGATGACAAATTATGGGAATGCAAACTATCCAGCAACCCTACCAATTCTGAAAGTTGACAACTATGAAAATTGGTGCAAACAGATGAAAGTCTTATTCAGGTGTCAAGGTCTTTGGGACCTTGTAAAAGATGGAGTCGAAGTGCTTGGAGAAAACGCTTCAGAAGAAGAAAAGAAGAAATACACAGAATCTGAGAAGCTGAGTTATAAAGCATTATATATAATTCATCAATGTGTCAGCCCAGACAATTTCGAAAAGGTTAGTGATTCAGAATCCGCAAAAGAAGCTTGGAAAATCCTTGAGAAGTCTTTTGAAGGCACTGAGAAGGTGAAAGAAGTGAGGTTATAAACTCACAAAAGGACGTATGAACTGCTTCAGATGAAAGACAGTGAAAGCATATCTGATTTCTTCACTAGAGTTACAAAACTAGTAAATCAAATCAAGATATGTGGATAAACGTTAACAACAAGAGCTGATGTTTCAAAGATTTTAAGATCTTTGGCCCTTAAGTTTGACCACATAGTGGTAGCGATAGAAGAGGGGAAAGACTTGCCGAAATTGACAAAGGAAAAGCTTCAAGGGACGCTTGAATCTCACGAACAAAGAATGAATGAAAGAGCTACAGGAAAATCGAAGAATGATGTAGCCTTGCAGGCACATTCAGCAAAAGAAACCAAAAGCAAAGGAAAGTGTTTCGACAGAGGTAGAGGTGGCTACAACAAACCGAATGGTAGAGGAAACCAGATCGAAGGAAACATGTCGAATCAAAGAAGACCATACCAAGGCAACCAAAGAGGTGGTGTTGCAAATAGAGGAAGAGGTGGTGGTCGAAAACCTGATAAGAGTCACATTCAATGTTATAATTGTCAGAAGTATGGACACTATTCGAGTGATTGTCCAGAAAAACGAAAGAATCAAGAAAGTGATGCAAAGCTTGTAAAACATGAAGAAGAAGAGATGATGCTGATGGTCACACCAAGAGATGAAGATAGATTCAAGGACCAATGGTACTTGGACTCAGGATGCTCATCACATATGTCTGGAAGGAAAGACTGGTTTGTCAATATAAAGCCCTCAATGAAAAATATGGTAAAATTTGCAAATGACAATACCCTAGAAGCTGAAGGTATTGGTGATGTTATGATTATGAGGAAAGATGGCAAGAGGTCAGTAATTTCCAATGTATTGTACATATCAGGCATGAAGAGCAATTTACTCAGTATATGGCAGTTGGTCGAAAAGAATTATAAAGTGTCAATCGAAGATAAGACGATGACAGTCGTTGATGCAAATGGGAGATTAATCTTGAAGGCTCCTATGTCTTAGAATCGAACTTTCAAGATTAAACTAAATGTGATGGAGCACAAATGCCTTTCGACTGCAGCTAGCAGAGATGAATGGATATGGCATTATAGACTAGGCCATCTCAACTTCAGAGACATCAGAGATTTGAAGAGAAAAAATATGGTTTCAGGATTGCCTGAAATTGACATTCCAAATGAAGTATGTGAGGAATGTGTGCAGGCGAAGCAACACAAGAATAGCTTCAGCAAGGATGCAGGAAGCAGATCGACGGCTATTTTTGAAGTCATATACTCTGATGTATGTGGACCAATCCAGTTATATTCGATGGGAGGTAACAAATACTTTGTTACATTCATAGATGATTTCAATCGAAAGCTATGGACTTATCTGATCAAGAAGAAAAGAGAAGTGATCGAAGTATTTGCCAAGTTTAAGTCTATGGTCGAAAGATAAAGCGGTCGAAAGCTCAAAGTTTTGAGAACTGATGGTGGTGGAGAATATGTGTCGAAAGACTTTGACAGGCTATGTGAAAAGGAAGGGATTATGCATGAGGTGGTGCCACCTTATACTCCACAACAAAATGGAATTGCAGAAAGGAAAAATCAAACCATCGTGAATATGGTGAGAAGTATGTTGAAAGGCAAGAATTTACCTAAAGAGTTTTGGGGTGAAGCTGTTTCGACTGCAACGTACATTTTGAACAGATGTCCTACAAAGAAGCTAGAAGGAATTACTCCAGAAGAATGTTGGTCTGGTGTGAAGCCTAGCTTGAGTCATCTGAAGGTATTTGGATCTATTGCACATAGACATGTGCCAGATCAGTTGAGAAGAAAACTTGATGACAAGTCAAGTCAAATGATTCTAGTTGGATATCATTTGACAGGAGGCTACAAGTTGTTTGATCCATAGAACAAGAAGATTGTGATCAGCAGAGACGTGATCATAGATGAATTTAAAGAATGGGATTGGACTGAAAATGTCAAGAAAGATTCAGTGGGAATCCTATTCGAAGAACCAGAAACTCAAGTCGAAGGAGAAGTTCGACAAGAGGAACCAGCAGATATACCAAGTACAAGCAGACCTCAAAGAACAAGATGCATGCCTGCAAGATTGTAAGATTGTGTGATAACATCAGATGATGTGATAGATGATGAAGGTGAGCTGGTACATTATGCTTTCTATGCAGATGTCGAACCCGTTAATGCAGCTGAAGCATTGAAGGATTCAAAGTGGATGAAAGCAATAAACGAAGAAGTGAAGTCTATCGAAGACAACAACACTTGGTCACTTGTCGAATTGCCTCAAGGCAAGAAGGTAATTGATGTCAAGTGGGTATACAAAGTGAAAACGAATTTGAAAGGGGAAGTAACTCAACACAAAGCAAGGCTTGTGGCGAAAGGATTTCTACAGAAAGAAGAAATAGATTTCGATGAAGTTTTTGCACCTGTTGCTAGGATCGAAACAATCAAGTTGGTTGTTGGTCTAGTAGAAATAAACAGTTGACACATATGTCAGATGGACGTGAAGTGTGCATTCCTAAATGGATCCTTAGAAGAAGAAGTTTATGTTAAACAACCATTTGAATTTGTGAAACATGACAAAGAAAGAAAGGTGTACAGGCTGCATAAAGCCCTGTATGGATTGAAACAAGCTCCAAGAGCTTGGAATAAGAAAATTGATAGTTTCCTAAGGGAGAAGGAATTTGTAAAGTGCACAACTGAACATGGAGTATATGTAAGAAGAAGCAAGAATGAATTGCTTATACTATGTCTCTATGTAGATGATTTGTTGATAACAGGTAGCTGCAAAAGTGAGATCGAAGACTTCAAAGGTGATCTCAACAAGGAATTCGAAATGTCTGATTTGGGTGAGATTTCATATTTCCTTGGTATCGAATTCTACAAAAGCAGTAGAGATTTGATGATGAATCAAAGAAGATATGCAGGAGAAATTCTCAAGAGGTTTGAGATGGAAGAATGCAAATCAACTTCGACACCTGCAGAACCAAGATTGCAACTATCGAAATATGTAGATGAAGATGATGTTGATCCAACCCAATACAGAAGACTTATTGGATCATTGAGATACCTTTGTCATACAAGGCCTGACTTAACATATAGTGTAGGTATGGTAAGTAGATTCATGCAGAAGCCAAAGGTATCACATCTAGCAGCAGTGAAGAGGATACTAAGGTATCTCAAAGGAACTTTTGATTATGGCATTTTGTTTCCTGCAGCTGATAAAGGAAAAGAATGCAAGTTAGTGGGATACACTGATTCGAGTTGGTGTAGTGATGTTGAAGATCGAAAGTTAACAGCAGGA